TCTTCTTCTTCTTCTTCTTCTTCTTCTTCTTCTTCTTCTTCTTCTTCTTCTTCTTCTTCTTCTTCTTCTTCTTCTTCTTCTTCTTCTTCTTCTTCCTCCTGTCACCGGCTTTGGGGGGAGGCTAACTTGAACCCCAAATCCTGCCTCCCTCCACTGAGTGCTGGGATTCCAGGTGTGCACTGCCATCCCTGGTTTACCATTCTTATCTAGTTCTCTCCAGCTGCACACTAGCACTGGTTTCCATGTGGCTTCCTGAGTTTCTGTGGGCAGAGAGTTGGTCCACTGAGGAGAACTGGTTTATCATCAGAACACGGATCCTGTGAAGAGGGCCACCTCTTCAGAGACTCTTTCAGTACGATGTCCCTAAGTGCTTCGTTGATGTTTATAACAGGGGTAAGCTGGAATCGGAACTGGAAGAGACACTTACTCCTTCATCCATCCCGCAGTCTGCAGTGACCTGAATTGAGCATGTGTGAAGTATGGTGCGCAGTTTGTGGGACTAAAGAGGTGGGAAAGCAAGAGAGGAGAGAAACTGGGGTGCTAGTTAGCGCTTCCCCCATCAGTCTTTGAAGGCCACGGTCCACACCACTGGCCCTGAAGCAGTGGACCCTCGGTCCTCCGGTTGCACATCAGTTGACTCTCTGGGCCTTAGGAGACCCACGGGTCCCTTTGTAAGAGCTGGCTTCCTGCAGCTTATGTGCAGCCCCAACACCATCTTCCCAGCGCCTTCCATTTTCATGGCGAGATCAGCTAAATGTTTGTCTCCACTCATCCAGCAGAGACCACCTCTCTGGCGGCTCACCAGGGCTCAGCTCTATCTCCTCTGCAAAGGGAAGCTCCCTCATTTAGCCTTCCAGAAGCTCTCAAGCTGTATCAGTGCTGAAATGAGATGTAGTGGTGATGCCAACAAGCCTGCCACAGCAGGGCATGGCGATGTCACAGCAGAAGCAGGAGGGGAGGAGCCAATCCAGGTTGTGTGCAGGGGACCCAAGGGGCCTGAGGAGGGTGGGATAAAAATCTGGAATTTATCTTAACTGTAGAGCACAACCTTAAGTGACCAGAACCCTCGAAGCCATGAGGGGGGGGGGTGAAAGAGAACACAGGAGGTCTCATGAGGAGGGTCTCGTAGCTACCCTTCTCCTGCACTTGACAATCGTGGGAAGAAGCCGTATGAAATGTGAAATCCTTCTTTTCAAATTAAACCCAAGACTGTTCCTAAAAGGGTATGTTTATATCCTTGGATCTGAGCAAATTTAAACTCATTGGGTCTCTATTTTATTGGTTTTCCTATTACTCACAGGGGTGGGGTGGGGGGCTCAAAAGAAATATCTGATGTGTTGTGGACAAAATGCAGCTGTTACCTTCCATCCCCACGTTTGAGAATAGTGAGTGGAACGTTGAGACCTGGGGCATGGGTAAGAGTAGAAGATGGAGTTGTCAGTGTTGGCGCCAAGAGGTGAGAATCCTCCAGGCATCTTCTGGAGTCTCCACAGGCAAGATGTATTTACCATCTCTCACTCCAGGCAAGGTATACTTACCATCCCTCATTACAGGCAAGGTAAACTTACCATTCCTCATTCCAGGCAAGGTAAACTTACCATCCCTCCACACACAGAGATTCATTCCCAAGAAAGAGATAGATCAAAGACAGACTGACATGTCAGGAGGCTTGTTGACCTCTCTTTTCCCTCTCTCCTTACCCTTCTAGTTCCCAGAACCTACAACACACTAGCTTCCTGCATACCCCTAGCAAGCATTTACTGATTGCTGGCTGCATGTACTTAATGCTAGGAGTACAGTTTGGTATATGGCGTGCCCTGGCATTTGCTAAATAAATGAATGAGCACTGTGCCTCCCACCCAGGAAGCTAATGAAGCTAAGCTTATGGCAGATTCCCAAACTCTTGTGGGCCTGAACCAACCCCCCTTGGGGGATTTCTAAGACCTGATGTGGACTCTACCCAAGACCCACTAATTTAGGTGGCATGAGACACAAGCTGGACCTTGATTTTTTTTTTTTTAGTACAGTCTTCAAACTTGCTGTATAGCTGAGGTTGGCCTTGACCTCCCAAACCTCCAGCCTCCACCCCTGAGCATTGTGATATAAGTGTGGGTCACCCTCTCTGGCTATGCATTAGGTTTTTTTTGTTTTGTTTTGTTTTTTTCTGTTATTGGTTTTTAGTTGTCTAAACCAAGCTCCCTGAGTGTTTAGCAAAGTTTGGGGATCACTGATTTAAAAGCCTCTTACTTGCTGGAGCCCCTAAAACCCTGGTGTCGCGGTAACGCCCGCATTACCGATACCCGTTTACCATGTCTGAGCAAAGGGCTGCGGATTAATCCCCTTATAGTAATCAGCATACTGACGTCGTAGCCGTTCCTGGCGAACTTACTACCGACGTCACTGTTCCTGAAGAACTTACCGACGTCACCGTTCCTGGAGAACTTTCTGACGTCACCGCTTCGTGTGTTGAGTTCTGAATCTTCTTCGACCCCTCACCTGGTGTCCGAAGTGTCTTTCCCGGGTTTCGGCACCAGTTGCGGCGCACTCCTCGGCCAGCGAGGAAGAACGACCACCACTGAGGATTCTTCTCAGATCACACTTTATTGGAGCGCCTCTTGGTTAAGGGAGAGCAGGAGGTGAGGGGCCCCGAGGACTAAACTGCAGCTGCTTATATAGGGAATCAGGCAAACGTGCCGTACTGTGATTGGGTCCCACCAGAATGCTAGCACGGGGAGCCACGGGATAGGCTGAGGACATAAGGCCAATTACCATACTCGTGCATCATAGCCAAATATGGAGTTGTTTACAGCTAGGCTACCAGGAAGCCAGCGCCATCTTTGAATAGCGGCTCCCTACACCCTGGGAAGTGCCTTGTCATTCTGAACTTGTAAGTTTACATTGTTTTTCTTGAACAGGGCACGCACACTGAATAAGCTTCGGG